GGGTTAGGGTTTAGGGTTTAGCCTCTCTCTGAAAGTCCCTCTTAGGGCTCTTTTAAGGGATATCTAGGGGTTCCCTGTAAGCGCTCCTTATCAGGGGAGAAGGGTTTAGGCTTCCCAAACTGTGCGGCTGGTTGAGGGTTTGGGTTCAGGGTTTAGGGTATAGGATTTAGGGTTTACAAGGGTTTAGGGTTTCGGATTTAGGGTTTATAAGGACTTAGGGTTCATAAATGCTTCGGGATTATAAGGGTTTAGGGTTCATAGGGGTTTAGGGCTATATAGATTTAGATTTAGGGTTTAGGATTTAGGGTTTAGGGTTTAGCGGTTTACGGCTTAGGTTTCAGATTTAGGTTTTAAGGTTTAGGTTTAAGGATTATAGGGTTTAGGGTATAGGATTTAGGGTTTAGGATTTATGCTTAGGGTTTAGGGTTTAGGGTTAAGTGTTTCGGATTCCGGGCATAGGGCTTAGGGTTTATAGTTCAGGATTCCGGTTAGAGTTTAGACAACGAATCTTTGAAGAGCTCCCTCTGAATAAAGAGTTCTACAAGGGTTCCGTGCGCGTTTTAGGTGTTTGGGTTTTCGGTTTGGGCTTCATTCGCAGGCTACAGGGGAGATCAAGTGTACACCCTTTTGAGCCTTGGTCCTGGGCTGGCATCGGTCCAGTATCAGATGGCTGGCCGACGACTGGTGGCAGTGGCCGATATCAGTCAGCTGTACGAGTTTTACCTGAGCACTCAGAGCACCCATGCAGCCGACGATACCGCACCTGCAGCTGCCGTCACCTACAAGGCCCTGGTCATCTTTATGCACAACCTCAGCGAGGACATGATCCCGGAAGAAAGCAACTTCCAGATCTTTCAGGGCTGCCTTGCTCAGGGTGACACCCTCTTCCTTCCGCCCGGCATGATCTCCGTCGAGAAGACGTTTCAAGGTCACAGCATTCTCTTGCGGAGCACGGTTGGATACATGACTGTGCAGGGTAAGAAAAGCCTCACTGAAGAGCACTTCAAGTAGAGGCCGACCGATGAAAGGCACGGATGAGCGAAGAGGAATCTTGGGCGGAAGTACCACCAACCGCCGGGCCAAGAATGAGAAACCACGTCAG